GGTATGTCTGCAATAAGAATCTTTTGGATAAATGAACAGGGGAGATATAGCTGCATCTTGTGGTGGATCTGTTTTTTGTTTTTGTTTGTTTGTATTGCTTCGCTTTTGAGAAACTTCCATGTTGAGCCAATGGTTACAGGGCTAGTTTACATTTTCACCATCAATAAGTGAATAAGTATCTTTTTCTAGATCCTCATTTTCAACAATTGCTACTCTGATTGAGGTAAGAATCAAAGAGGGGTTTTTTTTGTTGTTGTTGTTGTTTGTTGTTTTTTGTTTGTTTGTTTGTTTGTTTTTTGAGTTTCCCAGTGGCTGAGATGCTAAGCATTTAAAAATAGTATTTATTGGTCATTTGCTATCACTACATTTTAAAGGGGAAAAAAAGCAGTTTGTCAAAACTTATTTATCAGGCCCAATGGGATGAGTTAGCCAGTAAGAATGCATGCCACCAAGTTTGATAAGCTGAGTTCAATCTCTGTAACCCATAGAGTGGAAGAAGATCTAACTCCTGCAAGTTGTCCTGTGACCTCCTAAGTAGGCCATGGCACATGTATGCACTGAGCCACACAAACACACACACCGAAAGTAAATACAATAAAAACGAGTTTTTAAAGAATGGCTTATCAGTATAGCTTTAGAACATGAAATGAGAAAAATATTGTCTTGATTCTTTAAATATGTGGGAAGTCTATCCAGAAGTGAACAGGTAATTGTACATTTAGCCTTGGGAAAGATGAAAGAAAAACCAAATATATCAATGTAGTTTACCTCTCTTACTGGTACCTCTCTCTCCATTTTGCCTTGTGATTTTAATTGTAAGTACAAGTGAAGTCCAAGTGAAGGCTGTAATTGCGTACAATATAATAGACTTAAGCAGTGAATGCCACTTCCCCCCTTCCCTCTCCCATGAGTACCCAATTTACTGTGGAAAGGCTAAATGAGGGTTCAGAGAGGGCTTAGGCTGAGGAAGTATTTGCTAGACAAAATAAAACACAAATATAAAAAGAAAAACGAGTACATCTGAGCTGCTGAGAGTCAGCATAGAAAATGTTCTCATTTCCTTTTGAAAGGTCCTATTTCAGAGAGATCCTTCAGCATAAGAGCAAAAGATGCATTTTAATGGCAGTAATTATTTCTGAATAACATCATGTTCTATTGAGATTAACAACTGTGCGTTTGCAAATTAACTCAATTTGGGAAGAGAAACAATGTCAGGCCACATAAGGATTCTACTTTGCAAGAGATAAACATGAATCTCAGCAGCATTTAAATAGCTTGTAGAAAGAGAAAACCCTCCTCTTGTGTCTGCAAAGCGCCATTATTACTGTGAAAACTAATTTGCCCACACTAGTCGTACACATCCTAAAGTCCTTCCATTTAACAATAAGTCACCCTAAAGCTTCACTTCCCCTGGTGCATTTGCTCCAGTTTCGGACCTTGAAGGCTCAACAATTTGATTTTGTAGAGCACAAACCTACAGATTCATTCTTCACGAGCAGACTCACAAAACCAAAGTTTCTTAAGACAGATGTTTTTGTACACCCACTATCATAGCATCATTAATCACAATAACTAAAGAAGATAAAAGAAAAAAAAAAAAACAAGTATCCAAATACAGAGAAACTGAAGAAGCAAAATATGGTAGATGTGTTTACTACAGGATCCCAGTCTTTAAAAGAAAGGAAATTCTGGGACCAAGGAGAAGACCCAATGAGTGAAGTGTTTGGTGCAAAAGCTCGAGGAAACAAATGCGGATCCCCGAACCTGTGAAAGCTGCACGCGTAAGTGTGCGCCTGTAAGCCTAGCACTCCCTACCTACGGCAGGACAGGAAGCAGGGACAGGGACAGTAGAATCCCCCTAAAAACTGACAGGCCAACTGGCGAGATGTACACAGCAAAGACTAAGAGATCCTGTCCCAAACAAGGCAGACGATAAAGACCAACACTCAGGGTTGCCCTTGGACCTCCACACACATGCCACGGAACATTCACAGCACCATTCACACCCGTACATACACCCAGCGCGCATGCACACGAAGGAAAGAGGAAATTCTGACACATGTCACAACCTAGACGGCTGTTAAGAAGGGCCAGCGCAGAGCGGGAACATTTTAATGGAAGCAGTTGATGGAGGAGAAGAATGGACACAGACGGAGAATGGTTACACAACAGTGGATGCAGTCAGTGCCATTGAACCTTATGCTTTCAAAGTTAAGGTATGAAAGTTTGCATTGCATATATTCATTCCACCATAACTTTTAAGAGCAGGACTTCCTGTTTCTTTTTTTAATGCATTTCTAAGAACACATTTGTCACAGGGACTTGGATATTTGCGTTGCATACATAGCTTTATATTTCTCTGTGACAAAAAAGCAAAGCTGAGCTGTAAATGAAAAGATGGCCATGGAGCACAGACCTTAAATAAAGGGAGAGCAATGAGGTGGGTGTCTAGGGCACCAGTCCAACACAGATGGCACAGTGGTCTCATAATGGAGACAGACTTGTCCCAGAAGGGCCAGACCACATGGGTTATAGAGACCAGAACTCTCTCAGTATTCACATTCACAATACGGACATTGCCAAGGGTCTTGGCAAAGGTTCCCTCTAGTTTTATCTGCCAAAAACCTTCCTTCCTTTCTTTCTTCTAAGACTAACCAATTCTTATTGGATTAACCTAATCGTTTTCTAGATATGCAAATATATTCAATTATATCATAGTAAAGCATTCAGGTCCAGAGGGTATGCTGGCTAGAGAAACCTCACAGATGAAATCAAAGCATGTTGATGTCACTTCAAAAAAACAAACAAACAAACAAAAAAAAAACCCCACTGCCCTTACTTTCAAAGTTTCAGAAATACTTCACAGTAGCCCCAGGTATTAACCATTATAGCCCCTCCTTGTGTGGTAGTTAAGTAACATTTGGTTCAGCGTTTTCTGCAAATTGTATTATTTGTAACTGAGAATGTTAACGCTGCTCTGTACCAAGGATTCACTAATTGTGGCTTTCTAAGAATGATGGAGCAGTCTGAAGCAGAAGGCATGGAGAAAGGGACACTAGAGAAAGAGAACAGAAAGGAAGATGTACAGGAAGAAAAAGAAGACAGTAACGGTGCGTGCGTGGTTAGGTTATTTATAAACACATTAGAACGTATTATCAAATGCCAGGGTGCCACCTAAATTTTCCCAAATGTGCGCCATTTGATAGGCTAAAGCTGAGTGCATTCCTATCATGGAGGAGAAAACAATCTCTACAGAGTTGGTGGGGAGGGTTGTCTGTTTTGTTTCTTTATTTTTGTGGGGAAGGGACGATGGCCAATCTGTGCAGAAAAAGCCAGCAGTATTCAGTGGCTACCTGCATTAAACGTGCAGTTCTAATCTGATTTTTCAATTCCACTGTCCTAAATCTGCCAGTCACTAATTTTTTCAAGTTGGGTTTTTGTTGCACTTTCCTACTCTCTAGTTCCTGTTCAAATGCTCCTGTGGGTTACAACAATCCTGTCTCTTCCCAGATTAGTGGCCGTTCCTGTTTCTAACTGCCCTGGAGGTAGAACTAAGCCTTTCAAAGTCTAGGGGGCCTTCACGTGAGTCCTGTTCTTGCCAATGGAGGCCCAGCTCTGACTACAGCCCTGGAGGACTGCACTCATTTGGCTGAGGTCTTCATCTGTTGCCCTATACTACCCCGGACACTTTAGCTAGGACTTACAGACTCCCAAGCTGCTCTTCCTCAGGATGCTTGTCACACACTCCTGGAGCTGCCCAACCCCTTCTGTCCCAGATGAACTCAGTGACTCCTAGTGTGTATTTCTTTGCATGCTACAAATGACCTGTCTTGTTTTCTAATTATCCCCTTCCTCCTACCTAGAGCTCTCTGAGGACAAAGGCTCTGAGTTCTCTCCCATGGAATCAGCTTAGAAGTGGCTGAGAAGACCTACTTTCCGAGCGAATGAACAGCAGTGGTGAAAGCAGTATTCACATCTAACCTTCTGACCCAACATCCACTGCTTTTCCTCTTCATGTCACACTCAGGGCAAAAAAGTTTATGCTGTGAAGTGATACATTTCTTATGCCTAGCCAATCACTGTAAGGAAAAAATATACTAACAAAACTGGTAAGTTAGTGTAGATGTTAGAAGACTCTACCAATAAGACCACCTTGGGGCTGGGGAGTGGTTAAGAGCACTTGCAGCTCATGCAGAGAACCAGGGTTCTCTGGTTCCCATATCAGGCAGCTTATAACTTCAGCTCCAAGACATTGAATGCCCTCTTCTGGCACTGCATTCATGCGGTCACATACTGACCATTGGGCCTGTACACACACACACACACACACACACACACACACACACACAGAAATAAATATGCAAACAAACAAATAAATAATAAATTGTGTCATCCTTCTCCAACTTTTTATTATATGCAATGAAAGGATACCTGATTGGTAATGTCAGCAATAAGCTTTAGAATCCTTTTAGTAGATCACAAGCACACTTAAGGATAACTTAAAAGAAATATTATGTAGGAGTATACTCACATTGTATGTACCAGAAAGTGCCTAAACTCTTAATTATTTGGGAGAAACCCTAATGGAAAAATTCGGCAATTTTATATACTATTTTCATCTACAAGAGGACGTGAAAAATAAAAGAGGTAGATTGAAAATACAGTTCAATGATAGAGTACTGGCAGGTACGAGGGACGGCAGGATGGAGGGAGGAAAGAGAAAAGGGGAGTAAGCCTGACAGCTCAGTCTTCCTTTTTTTTTTTTTTTTTTTTTTTTTTTTTCAGTCACTAGCAAAGGCTTCATTATGAAAGAAGTTAAGAACTGGTAATAATACATTTCCATAACTGTCTTAAATTATCTTCGTTGTCCGGGATTCTTTTCATGAGACTGTTCAACATTTTCAACCAACCCACGTAGGTTTTGTTTTCAAGCCTCGAACGAAGTTTGCGGCCCACCCCCCACCCACCCCAAAAAAATAATAACAGCAAAGCTGGCGAAATGGCGGCAACACATTTATTGGAGATAAACTAGGCGTGGCATGAACCTGATGAAGATGTAAAATGACAAAGCAAAACTGGTCTAGCATTTCTTAAAATCACAAATGAGAAAGAAAAATCATTTTCACAAGAAAATACTGTATCAACCTTGTCTTAATCACTGAATACCATAACCCAGGCCATAGTGCTGACTCTGGGTGTCCAGAACATAGCTTATTTTTAAAGGAGAAATAGAAAGAAAATATTTCCCTCCAAAGAGCCCACAGCCACCACCTGGGTATCACACCCACAGGCAATTTCTATCATCAGTCAGTAATACTGAACTCTGCTTCGTCCTGGAGGAGAACAGAAGATACTACAAATGAAGAAACTTTCACAAGATCAAAGAAACAGATCAGCTAATGGCCCTCCACCGAATGAAGACTCAAGAACGAGCACTTCCTGGAGTCTATAAGCTACATCAACCCTCTTGGATATTAAGACTTTTTTGTTTTTGGAGAAAACCCCCTAGACCCAAGGACACTCTGATGCCCTGAGACCTGTGACATTCAAGTGGGGAACAGCCTAGATGCTTGGCATCTGTTTATCAATGTCTTCAGAAATCCTTACACCTTAACTCATGAGCACTATATAAAATTTCATCTTGTATATAATAAACTCTCTTTGAGGAAAATCACCCCCAATATACCCATCTGCAAAAAGACAAGGACTTCAAAAAGCAACAGCAGTAAACACTTTGGAAAGGTAAAAAATTCTGCATTAATGTTCAGAGGCACTATTGTAAAAATCATCTCTGCTTCAGGGACTGAACAGGTACTGGGAAAACTACTTTCCATCCATGCACCCAGCATGCATGAACATTCTCTAAAAAGCTATCTGTAGGTGGCAGAAGCCAGGAGTCTAAATACAGAATTGTAGGTTTTTAACTGGGTTGGACACATTTCCTTTCCCTTCCAGTATGCTTTACACAGTTTGTTCCTAAATATTTCACAGTTCTAAATTTTCACATGACAGGGGAAAATGATTAAGAATGTGTTCTGCTATTGAGCAATTTTTTTTTTTTAAAAAAAAGCAACTCAACATGGTATATCATCTTTGGAAAAGCAATCCTAATTTTATTTCCCTATTCTAGACTGAAGGTCACAAGAACTACATGGAAGGCTCCCATAATTTTGTGAGAAAATAGCCAACTAGTCACTTGGCAAGTACAGCACCAAGCAACTGACTGCCACTGTAGAAGTCACTTAAATAAGAAGGTGAAAGCAACTCTAGACAATGTATGAGCTTAATTGTGTTTTTGAGCCCCGATATTTTCAGTTTGAGTATCAATGCTGGTCTAATCTGCTAGAAAACTAGCAACATCCATCTTCATCTTGAGGTGGGTGGACTCTGGCTTTCTCCCTGTGTGCATCTAGAGCAAAGCCTAACCAGAATCAAGATACATGAAGACTCAACACACTGGATGTCACACAGCAGGCAGAGCCCCACCTTCCTAAGGGACTCACAGAGGCGAGATTGGCAGCCAGTCAAATCCGCTACATAGACACAGACCTAGAAAGCTACGGAAATGTGTCTGCCCACCACACTGAGTGAAACATGCTAGTCTTTGGTGGGGACTGGGGGGATACATTCATTGTTTTTCAAGTATATTTCAATATACAAAGATGTTCTAGATTCGTTTCACTAGAAAAACAAAAGGATTTCATGTGTGCCCAAGGGAAATCTCACTTGAACTTCCCTTTGGTTTGGTGTGGGTTTCATGAAGTTCTGACTGAAAAAGAAAAATTGCTCCAATTTGAAATAATGAATCTTTATGTCCACTTATATATATTTGTGTACATAGTTGGCAACAACCAGAAGAAAATACTGTCTGGATGTCTGTGATGGCTTAAGAGCAGCATAACGCTGAGGAAGGCTACATCACCTACTGGTGATCTCAGCACCAGCAGTAGCTGGCCCACAAGCTTTCTGGTCAACCTCAGACCAGACCACACGGGCCTCCTTCTGGGTATTATAAGGAAGGTCTCTGCTGAGGCCACATCTAAAACTATGGCTTATTTCCTGCCTTGGCTTTGTCGTTAGTGGGGTAAGTTAGTTCTCTCAGCAGCAATTCACACTTGGCCAGCGCATCTGCTGGTAGCAGCTTCCGGATTTGTTCCACTGTCTTTTGATAAGCCATTTTATCTTGTTCCAGGGTCCGCACTAAAGCCTTCATTTTGGTCTCTCTGGTCAAAAGAGTTTCTAAGTTGGATTCCAAGGCCTGGATTTTAGCATGAGCCACCTGTTTGTCAAGAAAAAAAAAAAATCCTCCATATTAGAAATCTGAGGGTGGTTCTTTATTATAGTAATAGCCGTGTCTTACTTTTGTTGCTAGATAATTATATCACATTAGTTAACAGACTATCATGAGATTAAACACTGACAAAAATGCATTCTTTTTTTCAAATATAGAAGTATTTTTGTATATATTTCAGGGTTGGTTTTTTTTTTTTTTGCTTGTTTATATGGTTTTTTAGAGTGTCTCAAAATCTAAGTTTTAGAAGCAGAAGATGTAGCTCAGTGATAGAGTACTTTTCTACCACTCAAAAGACCCTGGATTCAAACCCCAGAAACAGCTTAAATATATGATAATACACGTGTAAGTACATGTTTAACTTATAGGCATACATATGTGCACACACTACACTCACATGACTTATTTCCTCTCAGTAATGACAGCAGGAACCCTGTATCATCGCCCCACGATCACCGCTCACACCCACCTGTGTCCCTGTCTAGTCTGACCAAAGGCAGAACGAGGACACTCGAGTATTTTTTTTTTTTTTTGTCATGTGAGTTGGTTTTGGTCATAGTTTTGGTAGATGCTAATCTAAGCTGCATGGAGCTGACTCTGGCCAGGGACACCCTGCTGCATCGTCCATCATGGTCCATTGATGAGAAAAAGCTCGTATGTTCAAGAAGGAATCTGAGTGATTGGTGGTTCTGGCCAGTCTTACTTTTTTATTACAACCCCACCCCACCTCAGAAGATAGTTGGAGTTAGGAAAACGTCCTAATCCCTTCCGGAGCAGCACCTTCAACAACCTAAGGACCTTCCAGTAGGTTTGCTTCTCCAGATGTAGTTGGAACGCCATTGGTTTCTACTGATTGGTAAATTTGATGATAGCTACCTGGAACTGTCAACAAAAAGTCTGTAGCAAGTAAAGACCATCACCAATGGAAAACAGGTGCAAATGCCTTCCCCAACAAGGAAATCCAGTACAGCAGATATTTATGTGTGTGTGTTAATAAGTCACATTGGCTTAATGTTAAAGGAAAAAATATTATTTTTTACTCTTGTGTTTATTCTATTGACACATAACAGACATTCCATTTAGAGCATACCTCGCCCCACTTCCCACCCACAACTTCTCTGGACCTCCCAACCTCACATCCTCTTTATTTTTTAAGCAATTTTCTTATGACCCAAATCTGGGTAAGGCAATGTGAAGGCTCTCTGTCCCGTTGGGCAGCTCAATTTGAATCTATTTCCCTCCTAGCTGCTCTTCACAGAGGACTTCATAGAAAGAGAGTTTGGGGGCTCCCTAGGTTGGAGCGGGTGCGGCACTGAGAAGTGGGGCAGGAGTGTGGCTAAGCATAAAGGAGACATTGGGAAGTTCAGCTCTAACCCAGAGTTCATCCTCTCCGGAAGGATCAACTCCTGCTCGTATATGGCTTCGGTGTGGCTGTTTCCCCCCCCCCCCTCCCGGCACCTGTGCTGTTACACCTTGGGGTAAGTGATGACACATGGGTGTCATCTTTCCCAGACCGCTGAGGAGGTCCTCCTTCCCTAGTTCTCGTAAAATGGTTGTTCCCAAAGAGCAAAACTGGCCTTCTCCATCCCTGAGTTCCTCCCTCATCATGCCATCTCTCCCTCTATTGCATGTTCCCATCATGACACTATCTCCATGTGACATAGCCAAGGGCCTTTGCCAGAGTGAGCGACATGCTATGTCAGCCTTCGAGCTGTGAGTTAAGTCAACCTCTTCTCTCTAAGTGATCCAGCCTCAGGGACTCAGAGACCAATAGAGCTGCTAACTTCCTCTGTCTGACCACATCTTAGCAGGCAGAGCATGGATCCAAAGCTCCTATTTATACTCCTTCAAGCAATAAACTATTGCTTTGCAGATTGTTTACTGTATTTTTGTGTGTTTGTAAATTACTTTGGAATAAGGTAATTGTGAATTCCTGAGTGGCAAGACTATGTGTTATGCATTCACTTTCAGTTTACCCAGACACATCTCTTCCCCTTTCCATTTCTGTTTTACTCTAGATAAATATCATTATACCTAACCAGATTTTCACAAGTCGGCTCCTTTCCTTCTTACTCCACCCTAATCTGTCTTTGGTTTGTATTGTTCTTTCAAACTTGAGGCTTAAATCCTTTTGAGATGTTTCCTTCTGAAGCAGGACATATAAAACCGTGTTGTCAGACAACAAAGAAAATCTGTTGTACTCTGTTCTCCACCTGCTCCTCTCCCCAGCATGAGACCTGACCTGATACCAAGCTCACCTGCTCTGCTACAGCTTCTGACTGAAGCAACCTCCGGCTCCGAGTGACACAGAAGACCTCCTTGCTTACTGCTCAGCCCTCAGGGTCTAGCCCAAGCTCACATAACGACATCCCCGACTCCTCAGACTTAATTCTTCCTCCCCTGAAATTATCTGAATTATGTAGCATCCAGTAAGATGAACCGAAATTCTGCTTTGAATTGCTGTTCTACTATTTTGTGTGGTTTTTTTCTCTCCAAAGTGACACTTAAGCTCCTAAGAATATCTGTAGACCACCATATACATAAAACTAATAAGATACCCAGACCCTTGATCTTCAGTGATTCAGTCCCCATACTTGTCATAGTCATTCTGAGCAGTTCCATGCCTACAGGGCTGGACACACATCATTGTTACAATCTTTATTTCTGTACCTGGAGTTTCTCTAAAAGGTCCATGTTCTGTCTTTTCAGTTGGTTGTTGGCTCTCTCTAGCTTCTCCAGACATTCGTTATCCTCACAGGTATAGGAAGATTCCAGAAGCTCATCCTGCAGCACGTGATATTCTACCTCATAGGCATGTAACTGTTTGGAAATATCCATCTCAAAAACCTGTTGAAACACCATGGGGTTGGTTAGTCTGGCTTTCAGGATCTACTACACCAAGATACAAGCATCACATGCTGGTCAACCTCATGTTTATTTCCCAGCACTAGTGGGAACATTAAAACAAACCAAAAGAAGAAATAGGCCTGCCTATCCACACCAGAACAAATGAAACATAGATTCAACTTTCAACACAATAGCACACAGCATATTTTGATGCAACTGAAACATCCTGAAAATGAGACCAAGCCACAAGAATAAACTAATGTCCAAGGATATATTGCAACCAAGATGACTGTAATCTAGTAACTGTCTCCCAAAATGTAGAGTACCTCATCAACATTTGTTGTTGAGCAATGATTATCTGTGTCAGAGATAATTACTGCTGATTAGTAAGCAAAGGTAGATAGGAGTATATGCATTAATAGAGCAGAAAGATCTTAATAAATGACTTTATTCATTAGCTATTCCTTGGGAGCCTCTTTCAAGATCAGAAATAGATTGCATACTTAATCAATTCTAACACTAGCAGTAACCTGTGAGTCAGGAAATTCCCCTGTTAATTTCATTATTTTGGTTTTCTTTTTCAGGTTTTTATTAAAGGACATATTTGATTTCAAATCTCCAAAAGCATAATATTTAAGTGCTTGCTATTCACACAAGTTATTTCAGCCAGTAGTTCATGGTAGTGCATTCCTGCAAGGCCAGCACTTGGGAGACAGAGTGGGAGAAAAGCAAGTTCAAGGACAGTCTGGGTTCCACAGTGAGACCAGGATTCAAAACAAATCAGAAAAGTTATTTCCAAAGAATTGACAAATGATAAAATATAAACAAAAGCCATATGTGTAAACTGAAAGATTTTAATGATTAGAAACTCACTGAGAACTATTTACATAATAATCTACATATGAGTTATATTTTGTGGTGCTAAGAATCAAACGCGGGGCTTTGCACATGCTGGACAAATACACTGAGCTACATCACTGGGGTGGCCCTCAATTTTTGGTTACACACTCTCAGCCTCCCAAGTTGCTGGGATCTCAGGCCTGGTCTTCTTATGAATTCTGAAAGAATTAGTGACATTATGAAACCTAGTGAGACTCATTTTATTTTCTGGTCATCTTGACTCTTCAAGTTGTGATCTAGGTCTCAGCACTGGTTTATATGAAAAGGATTCCTGAAAAACCCACTACACCATATTTTCGGTGCACAGGCAGACAATATTACAATGTTGAAATTTCTTAATTGTCTCATTTCTAAATAAAATGTACCTGATAAAACAAAAGAAGACCTTAAAAAATAAATGTTGACAAACTGCATTTTTATGTAGAAACATTTAATACATGTAGAATCTTTTACATCATACCTGGGTAATAATTTTTTCCATTTCACTGGTATTCATATCAGGTAATGTGCTTTTGAGAAATTCAACAATATTTTCAAAGTTTTCACACTCCATTATAAGTGCCTCCTGGCTGCTCAGTAAGCTGAGAGCAACCTTAAATATAACTTCAGTTCCTTGAAGAAAAATAATATCTAGAACAAGAGATAACATTTTCATGATCAAAGTTGTGTATCTATTATTGCAAAGAGCACATTCTTTATTCTAAAAGCATTCTTTAAAATTATGGTAGTAGAACTAAAAAACACGTAAAAGAAAACTGGTCAAAACTAGTTTTCATTTTTAGAAACAAGTTTAATATGATTGAAACAAAGGAACAGAATTTTGCCTATTGTTACTTATTAAGGATGTCAGAAATGTTATGTGAACAAAGGGGATGTTATATGTCTGTCTATATATTGTTTATAGTTTGGATGGTAAGTTTATGGATTCTAGATAAAGTTCAAACACTTAATCAGCTAATATTTGGCGTTTTTTTTTTCATAACAGAATATAACAATACATCAATATAGTCAACTAGACTATTCAAATTCTCCTAATTAAAAAGTAATGAGCCAGTTAATATGTAATTAGATCTATATTGAAGTAGGAAATTAAAGAAAAAAAACTTTAGCATACACAAGACGTGGACAAGCTCAAGCCAGACCAAATCTCAACATGATAAATGGGGGCTGGGTACAAAGTCCCCACCTGGGGAGCTGCTGGCTTTTGATAGCCTCTACAAGAGGGAGAGTCAAGTTTATTTAAGTTTGTGCCCCCCTGAAGGTTGCCCAAGGGTTATCTGGAGAGCAAAAATTGACATGGTGAGTTTACAAAAAGAGAAACAGAGAGAATATAAAGTTGGATGAGCAGGGAGGTGGGGCTGAACCTGGGATGGGATTGGGGTGGGGGGAATGTGACCAAAACTTGTTGTATGAGATTCTAAAAATTTGACAAATACATATATAGATAGAGAGACATATATACATATCCTAAACCAGATGAGAGGCAAGAAAGCCATTCTAATTAGAAGGTGAGCTGGATTACAACACAAGCATGCAATCATTCTGAAACACCCACAAGTAGTTTTGTTTGAAAAATTCTCTCAACCTATGTGATTCTCTCATCAATAAAACAAAGCAACAGACTGAACAACTGCTCAGTAGGAAGCTATGGGTTCCGGTTGTGATCTCTAACAGGGAGCAGATGACTAGAGAAGGGACACTGATGTCATACACTCTGACATTAAGCCAATGGGAGTGGGGGTGGGGACATTACTCATCTTGGACACAAACACATCCGAAAGGATTTCTAGGAGAGCTACTACAAGAATCCAAGGAGCTAAAAAAAACAAAAACCAAACAAACAAAAGCACCCCACTGGACAGAAGTGGTGTATAGCCGATAAACAAGAGACAGCTAGCTCCGGCAGTGCAATGGGAAGTTACATTTCAGCTCAAACTTCGTCAGAAGACTGCATTATGCCTCCCGTTAAGAAGGTATCCACAATTCGGTGTATGGGTGCATAACACCCACACATGCTTGATATTCAAGTATCTCCTGACATTTTCTATTTGTTATCATCTCTGGGTTGTTTTTTTTTTTTTCTGAGTTTTATACTAATGCATCTTTAGGGGAAAAAACTACTTTAAAGACTTAAAATTGGAGAACATTTAAAATTTGACCAAAAAATAAAAAAAAAATACAAAGCTTCAAATCAGCCCCAAGTACATAAATACTGAGTTGTCTGACACGGCTTCTAGACAGATGCGCAGAACCCAGCAGGGGTCTGAGTGACTTTTCTCTTAGCCATGGTCTTAGGGCTATGACCCCTTCAATGGCATGTGAGCAACGAGACAGAACAAAAGCTACACGTTAACAATAGAAAGGCAGAAATGTCATTAAAATAGCACCCGTAACAGCACAGAAGTCATGTTCCTTTCTCTGTATTTTGAATCCAAATTGAAGGAGATGATGAAAGAGGAAAGAAAAAAAAAAACAGAAAGATAAAAATCTATAAAACTATACAGAGTCTGTCCCTAATCCAGATTTGAAAACTGTGTTTTCTAGCTTTTCCACACAGACAAATATAGGAAGCTCAAAGGAGCCCAATTCTTTTCCACTATCTTTGACTTTTACTTAGAACTTTCCTGGCCCTAAGGGAACTTCACTGACAATGACCTCAAGGAAATAAATAACACCGTCCCCCTTGCACACAGGCAGCTCTTACCAAACACTCTGGCTACGAATCCTAAGGGAAACTGAGAGGCAAAGAGTGTGAGGAACCAGGGCGCAGCATACAGACTGGGGCTGATCTCATTTTCCTCAAGATGATTGTAGAGTTCTCGGTGGTAGTCATGAAGGAGTCTGGAGAGCTGGTACATCTGGATCTGCAGTTCATAAAGAGGAGAAAAATAAAACGCGTAGTAATCTGCAAATCTGCATGTGTATAAAATATACTAACTTTAACACATTTGGTAAAATAACACATCTTTATTTTTACTCTTAACTTTAAAGATGCTGCTCAAATCCAAGTTCACTATATTTAGGACACGACTCATGTCAGTGTAAATTCAACTAAGTCTCAGGAGCAAGAGTTTCCACCATGTGTTTGATATGGTGTACATACACGGTAAAGAGCATCATTCCTCCTACAGAGAAGAATTCTTCGTCAAACTCCTAACATATTTCCAACATCACCTCCTGAAGGTGAACTTTTTCTTATAAAAAAAACATAAATTAATAAAAATGCATGCTAATAACCAATCACAGAACTTCAAGAACGGTTTACAAAGTAGACATGAAAAATGAAACAACTGAGGCATATCGGATCACAAAGCGCTGTACACAAACACTGCCCTTTGTCTGGGCCTAATCTACCACACAAATCTTGGAAACTAAGTTTCCACACAACGGTAAAAGGAAGGAATCAGGGCCAGACGTTATAAAATGAGCAGCCTGGCAGGAGGCAAACACAAAAAGAGGTTTTGTAGTGAGATTATTATCTCAGTAAGTAATGTCAGGAAAGAAATCATACATTCCCCTTAGGCCAGCTCCGGTTTAGAAACTAGACAGAGTGGGCGTTTATCAACAGAAGAACTGGTATTTTGTTAAGTTCAAAAGAAGTCTAATTAGCAAAGTAAAAAGAGAGACTGTTGATAAAGATGTTTTGCTCTTGTTCAGTTGTGACCATAATGAAGAAACAAGCATATGTGTATGTTCTAAAATTGGGGTTAGGGTTCCTTGCCTCCATTGATGTATATTGGGGCAGATAAAAAAAATTCAAGGTTCCTACAAAGGGAGTTTTAATAACAAAGCCCAATTTTCCAAAAATCCAAATCATCCTTCCACTCTGCAGTGCATGTAACATGGGAAAGCTGCAGATGGGAGAGATGTGAGAAGGATGGATGGTAGAAGAGAGAAAAAGGTCCACAGAAGACTTCAAAGAAAAGATAGAAGGCTTGGACATCCAACACAGAAATCAGCAGAGACAGAATGTAATGAGACGGACATATTGAAGCAAAGGAGACTTCAGTCCCTTGTCCACAGTTAAAAGTCACTGAAGGAAGAGCCTGTGGTGCCCACAAGAGAGAGTGAAGCAAGAAATCGGGCATCTTCTCAAGGAAGCCAAGCTTACTGGCGTAGGTACCAACAGGTACTGGTACCATCTTTGAAAATCTTAGGGATCAAACCTGGCTTCCTGCTCTGGACAATGAAGAGATGTTATGTTTCACTTTCTGAAGCCCGGAGTTCAGCACTCCTAAGATAACATCCCTAGTGTCACAGCTGGTAGAAAGGCTGCCAGGGAACATGTTACATTTGCATTTTCAAAATTAGAAAGAGTATTTTTAGTAATTATAACAATCTTTTTTTTTTAATTATCTTTGAGAATCTCAGGCATAGTACACGACATCATTTCAACCATCCGCTTGTCCTATTTCCCCCTCCAACTTGGACTCATAACCTCTTCTATAGTTATTATTGTTATGTTCACACACACATACACAACTCACTGAGTCCATTTAATGTTGCTCATATATACAATGTTTAGGGATTATCACTTGGGACTCAGATGTTCCCTGAATCATAATAATTATTAGTATATGAATCCAATTTACCTATGCCTATGTTGTGTCAAATTTTTATTACGAATCTTTAATGGAAAAAAAAACAGCATATTTTAACATATATAACTAAATCTTACTGCCTGTGGACCAAAATAAAAAAAAAAAAACTGTGGACCAAAATCAAATATAACTTCTACAACATTTAATTGTTAAATATACCTATATACAGTTGCCAAATAGGAATTGAACTGCTATAGTTCTAAAACTTGGTGAGCCCGCCCTAGAACATGCCTTCCTAAGCACATGGGTGGCTAGCAAATTCTCAGGTTCTCCCCTAAAGCAATGGCCAGCACACAGCCATGTATTTGTGCAAGTTCTAAGATGGGGTCAGGGGTGCGATTCAACTTCGTGAACTCTGCCCTGTGACTCAGAAATGGCTGGTACTGAGATTCCTAGTGAGAGCCTCCTGCACAGCAGACTCACCTGAAGTGACATCATATCCGGTCGGTACTGCTTGCGGAAGCCCAGGTCGTACATGAGGAACTTCAGCATTTCAAAGGCTTGCTCTTCACTCATGTGCAGAAGCAGGACTCCAGCCACAAAGCTGATCCCCTGACAGTAGCCCACCTCTTTGTCCAGCAAAGAGTAGGCTTTCAGCAGGTTAAAGAGTGACAGCTGCCCGGCCCCAAGCTGTACTGAAAAGTAAGGGTGAGTGGGAAATGTCCTTCCTGTGGAGGGAAAGAAGAACCTTGCTTAGAAATCCAAGAGCAAATCCAGTGCAGTGACCTCTAGGACAAACTAGCACTCTGCCAACATGGGAGTTGCTTGCAATGTTCATCTGGAAGACTCTTGTCCTTTCCTTCTCCCCCTTCCCTTCTCCCTCTCCCCACTTCTCTCCTTCCCTCTCACCTCACCGCCATGTATGTGCTGTGTGCCAGAGTATCATCTCTTTTCTGCACACATAATAAAGAGGCAACCATTTTATCCTAAGCAATAACACTGAACAGAAACTGGCCATCAGTGGCATATCCAAAACATACTACAGAACTCAGAATTGCTGTGAGTTTAAATCAAGGTAAAGTCTAAATTCATGTAAAGACCACTTTCTAACCAATATCAAATATTGCATGGTGTCACTATTAAAGGCAAAATCTTGGTAGTCTATGACCAGATTTACTTTATTTTGTTTCTTTGTAATATGACACTGGAGGTATCTTTGGGTTGTATTCCCCTTTACATGGAGTCTATCATTTAGGAATTCTACCTTTTTAGATAAACGTTATCTCTGTTTCCATAAATCATGTAGACTCTTTAAAAAATACAAAATATGTACATAATATGTGTACACACATATATTTTCATGCATGCTCAAAAAAAAATAAGGACAGCAAAAGTTTAACACGATTTTAAGTAAATTTCTGCCTAAAATTTGCCTTCAGGTTGAAAATGACCATGAAAGACCAACAAGAAAACAAACTCAAATCTGCATCTCCAAAAAGCTGGTGCTGTGTCCTAACACAGACGGATCTTCCTCAGCAAAGCGGTTTGCACTTGTTTGGGTCTTTCCTTGAGCCACCGGAAAAAGAAGGGGATGTGTGCTTCCTTGTGAAATGATTACTCGGTTCAACTAGAATTTGCAAGACTGTAACATTTTAAAATGTTTTCTACCACAAATGCTCAAAAGGACATTTTTGTTTTCCTTTATTTTCCGGGAACTGGTAATATATTTCTGCTGAATAAGGAGGAGAAATGATAGGGAGCGCAAGAAGGGGCTGGAAGAACACAGGCTGCCACTAGCAGAAGCAAATAAGCATTTTTTTTAAATTAGTGTTCTAATTTCTCCCTTACAGTATTGGCTAGGAAAAAGTTATACACACTGTGTTAGAACTTGATTCTGGCTCCATTTTGTCTGTAGCCTTCCCTCAACATGCCCCTGTCATCAGGGACACCTAGACTAACCCCAACTGCAACACCTCAAGCTTAGGTCTCATCACCCATTTAACAACACAGTTCTACAGATCCACGGGGGCCAAAGTCTAGTCCTCAAATGAGAGAGGGAAAGATTCAGGAGCAAATAGCCTGCTGACAACCACAGTCAGGGGGATGATGAGAACAAGGAGTCTGCAGTTTCTCTATAACATTTCCATTTTAATTCTTTTGGGATCAAACTGTATTAACTGGGTTGAGCCCTCCTCCAAGAAAAGCTGATTTTCAATGAAAGTAACAGAGATAAAACTAATTTTTAGTAGTTAGTAAGATCTGGAGAGGACAGGAGCTCCATAAGAATCCAAATATATCTGGGCACAGGGGTCTTTTATGAGACTGATTCTCCAACCAAGGACCATGCATGGATATAACCTAGAACCCCTGCTCGGATAGAGCCCACAGCAGCTCAGTATCCAAGTGGGTACCCTAGTAAGGGGAACAGGGACTGTCTCTGACATGAACTCAGTAGCTGGCTCTTTGACATCCCCACCCCTGAGGGCGGAGCTCCTTGCTAGGCTACAGAAGAGGACACTGCAGCCAGTCCTGAAGAGAACTGATAAGCTAGGGTCAGATGGAAGGGGAGGAGGACCTCCCCTATTAGTGGACTTGGAGAGGGGCAGGGAGGAGATGAGGGAGGGAAGGTGGGATTGGGAGGGAATGAGGAAAGGGACTTCTGCTGGGATACAAAGTAAATAAACTCTAATTAATATAAAAAAATAAAAATTTAATAAAAACAAACTAAGTTTTAACCAGTGATTTTTTTTTATATGTGTAATATAAGCTGACCTCAAATATAAGCTACTCCTGTTTACCCTCATAGACAGACTCAAATAACATATCTGGCCAGCTGATATCTATCTGCTTTCAGGAGCATAGGTGAAACAGGTAAATACCAATATGAAATATTTAGATACTTTAGAATAGTAAAATATATGTGATAGAGAAAAAAATAATTTTAAAATCATATTATTTGGGGCTTGGGGATGTATCTCAGTTAACGGAGTGCTTGCCTAGCATGCACAAAGCCTTGCTTCCACTTCTAGCACCATATAAACCAGACATCGTGGTAGAAGTCTATTCTTGCAGCATCAGGGAGATGGGAAAGATCAAATCAAGGTAAATCTTGACTACAGAGTGAATACAAGATTGGCCAATACCTTGTCTCAAAAAGTAAACTAGAAAACCATACTGATTTTTACTTTTTATATTAAATGCGGTATTTAAAAGGCTTCTTTATGATGTCGTCACTGGAAATCCCTCCAGAGATTGGAAGTACTCATCTATCCACACAGCATTAACACGACTAGCCTGTTACCAACCCTATAGAGATGTATCAGCCATTTCTACAGCTTAAACACTTACTGGACTCCTTCTCTCCCTTGGGTGCTCTAGAAAAAGACCTCTTCCCTCCTCCTCCTAGAGAACATGATCAGCCCACCTGCCTAGCCACAGGGCTATCTGCTTTCTCATTTGCTGCTATCTAGCCATCCTCAAGCCCCTTCAGAATTGCTTTTTACAGTGACTGCCGAAAGGATGTATTTAGCAATGTCTGAAAGTTTTCAAACAGGCCTGCTAAATGGTTCTGTACCATTTTAACCTACTTCAAAATCAGCACCAATCATGAGAGAGTTTCCTCGCTGAAGGGGTAACTCAGAGGAGGAACACTTGCCAAGCACATACAAGGTCTTGTGTTTTATCTCCAGCACTATAAACACACACACACACACACACAAGCAAAAGTAAGTTGTTCAAAATTCAGTAACTGAGGGCACCCATAATACAACTTTCATAGTGAGTCCCATTTCAGAGGGATAATCTGGGGGTGAATATTCCACTCACAGGTCTTCAAATAAGAATAAAAGGACAACTTATCCAGACAAAGCAGTCAGCAACTCAGCAGATGCCAAGAGACCCTCTTAATCAATGCTAACCAGCCAACCAACATTTTGCCTTTGTAAATGACAAGCCGTGACAGACATACCCAAATCCACAAGGATGGCATGCTGCTGAGCAGTGAGCTGCTTCAGAAGTTCCTTATAGGAGGTGTCTGGAGGCTGGTGTTTGTTGGGCAATCGGTGTCGCAGGCGGTACTGTAATGCCAGAAATTGCCAAATTTCCCCTCGCCGACTTTTAGGGACCCCTAGAACCCAAGAGATGCAAACGTCAGGTCTTGAATTTGGGACTAAAGCCATTACGTCAGTAGATAAACCACATCACAGCGAAAACCACAGCTCTCCTTTCTGTGTGTCACCCTAGCCCATGTTCTCCAGTGTACTCACAGGAGCATATGTTGACAAGTTTTCACCTATAGTCCCTTCATCATTATATATATATAATTTCTGATCAAATGATGGCGATGAGTCAAGTTTGTAAGTCTGCACTGTTGGCAACAATTAAAGGCTTACATACTAAGGCATGCATCTCTACTTCAGAAGGCAAGAACATCAGAAAAGTTCCAGTAAATATGAGGGAATAACAGAATAAATTCTGCAGCCTTCGTGGGAACAGCATCATCATTTTCTCTCGATACTATTAGCAAGCAATAAGTAGAAAGAAACCCATCCATCTACACAGCATTGTAATGTCCTCTGTTTATAAACAAGTTTCAAAACAACATCAGGCTTCTACTTCTAAATCATTAGCATCGGCACAGCTTTCCTTACATAAAAGCTCGTGGAAATGGTGAGTACCTTCTTTAAGGGATGTGTGAATGTCCTCCATGTCGCACCTGATTTTAGTTCTGCAATTTAACAACTTCTTGTCCCATGTTATTAAGACTTCCTTCTGACATGTACCAACTTCTTCATAGTCTAACTTAACTTTTCTAGACTGGAGTTCATCTCTTCTTGCTTGAAATTTAAAAAACAAGAGAGAGAAAAAGAAAAGAAAGGCAATCAAACCAACCTATTGCTAAAATTCAGCATTGTAAATATTGTATGTATTAAACTATACCCAATTATTGTCAGCAGCCACTGACATTTACTATGGATGATTGGATGGAGAGGAAGGAAGAATGGATAGAGGGATAGACAGACAGACAGATGTTAGCTATGCTATAAATTTCAACTTCTAGAATAATATGAAAGCCTCAGAAACAACAGCTTATATCATCTTAAACATCATTAAAACAGGCTACAGAGATGGTTCAATGGTTAAGAGCACTGGTTGCTTTTCCAGCGGGCCCAGCATCTACATGATGACTCACAAACATCTGTAATTCCAGTTCCAGGGGATCCAACACTCTCTCCTGGCCTTCAAAAACACTGGCATGCACATGATACACATGCAGGCAAAACACTCATATGCATAAAAATAAAATAAATTTTAAAGCATTCAGATCTTATACAGGATGGATGGATGGATGGATGGACGCATTTACCTTGATCTGAAATCTGTTTTGCCGTGAAAGTCTCATGCATCCCTGTTACTATTCGAGGAGTTACTCACACTCCCCTAACACCTGCCTATGTATTCCTACATTCATTTTTAGTAACGTTTTGTTTGTTTGGGGTGCTGGGGACTGAGCACAAGGCCTCGGGCAGGCTAAGCACATGCTCTCCACTGAGCTATGTGCCTAAGTCTCTATTCTTAATAACTGCAAAAAGGGAAATTCATTTTAAGTCACTACTCACTCCACATTTTAAATGACACAGAATTCTCTCTATTTTGATCATCTAAAACACAAGCCCAGACTCAGCACTCGCTGGCTTGACCTGTCTTTATGTTAAGTAACTGATTCCAAAAGGGAAGAGACACAGGCACAGGGTACGCATCTCCTCCTTCCTTAGGGTCTCTTTTTGGAAATCAGAGTGGTCTCCACTCCCCCAAGCTCCAGGTTCTCCACTGAGCAACTTACCTTCTGAAACACAAATCTCAGTCAAGTATCCAACGTCCTCGACAGCACAAAAACAGTAGCAGGATGAATGTTACTCTTTACTTAATGCAGATGAAACCATACAAAAAGAGTAAAATACCTTAAAACAGACTTAAGCTTCCTATTTAAAAATCTGGACCTAGCCAAAAGACAAATGGACTGAAAAAAAAATATTCCTCTGGATTCCACTAGGAGGCTTCCTAGGGCAGTTGAGCTTTTCTTCTCAGAAGTTGCTGAGGGTGTCTGAGCTAACCCAACTGTTTCTAAGTGGGCTTGCCAAAGCAATAATAAGACATCACTACTACCAGTGTGCTTCATAGGGAGCTAAGTATATTTCCTTCGCTACTTTTCCTACAGCCTTCTCTGTCACTGTGCATTCCAAATAATCTTAAAAGCCTGCTATATGCTAGCCACAGGCCCTGAGGACAAAATGGCAAAAACAGTAATCTCTATATCCGCCCTCAACTGTTTAACTGAAAGGAGACTTTGAGAAATGATTGCCATCGGTCTAGAATTGTATCCTTTTTGCTTCAGCTCCGAAATAAACATGGAGTTGATGAAGCCTTTTGAAAAAGTGTTCTGTAAAATTATATAGTGTAACTAACCACAGAATGGACATGTAATCATTTACATTAAAACACTCCACTTTCTCATACTAACACACACAATTGAGTACTGTAGCATACTCAAAAAAGTGTAAGAGTTACAATATGTAGCTGTGTGTTCTAGAATATTTTCCACATGTGTGCTAGCATATTGAACTCCTTAGTGGCCCTGCCCCAGTCACTAACTGGTAGAATGAAGAGTGAGCTAAACAACCTGTAAGGCCCTCATCCCTTCAAATAGCCTATGATTCCAAAACTGTCCTTTCACATTTAATATAAGGTTTTATTTATATATTATTCTCAACTAAAATACAATTCATGTTTTAGATATTTACAAGAAGATTAATCACCTTTTTTTTTTGCCAACCACTTTTTTATGTTCAGTATATTCAAGATAAAACCACTTGCTAAAACTATAAATTCCAGGCCTACCAAAATCTTTGAAAGCTCCAGAGGTATAGATAGCATGGGTCATGCATACAACCTTTTAAAGCTATATAAATGACAGCTGATTGAGTTTTTTATTTTACAGAAAAGATTTATTTCCTAAGGATAGTTAGCAATTTATGCATTTTTTCATTCTAATAAAAAATAGCAAAAAAATTATATATTTACAAACTAAATAAATGGTGTTTAAAATAAATTAAAAACTGCATTTCACTGAGGTGCAGTATCAAGGATGCTATAGTAGAAGATAAACTCAGAATGTGAACATGTACGATTATAAAACTGTCCTTTTGGAAGATAATATAATAAAAGCAAAAGGGAGAAAAAAATCTATTTGTACAAATGTCAGAAATCTGAGAAGTTAAGAGCCCAGTAAAAAACTAATTGTTCATGTCACAGATGGCAAAACAAGCCCTTTAGGTGAATGAATTTACCCCAAATAATGGTATGTGAGTATGTTTTGGATTTGGGCACTGTCTGAGATCTCTCTGTGTGTGGATATTTTAGGCCTCAGACAAATAACATCATTTCTTCACAGGGTTGAGAAACATATTCTAAAGCATGTAGTATATACAAACTTAGCAGACAAGTGCTGTTACCAGCACACCAGCTCTTATGAATATTGGATTATAAGTTTGTGATTTAAGAGTGGAAATTTATAAAACCTTAATAAAGCTTAGGAACTTTGGTTTGGTTATATTTAACTGATAACAGTTAGGCTGGACAGAATACAAACCAATTTGTTCAAAATAGGCATATTTCTCTCAGAATGAATGACTATACCTGGAAGTTGACAGATCCCATTCAAAAAGAAGAGATTTTGTTTTTGTTCATGTTCCACAGTTTTTCTTAAGTAATGCACAATAATATTAAATTTCCTACTAAATACAAGTAAAAACAATCCTAGTAAATGCAAGGAACCTATGTTATCAACACTCTTCATTACTCAAAAGGCTACTGAAATTTCACCTCTACTATATAAAAAGGTAAATATGTTAGACTCATCTTTCTTGAGTCATAATTAACACATGCCCAAAAAATAGAAACGACAACCAACCAATATTCACACAGAGCACAAATCCCTTCCCCCACCCCCAAGAAAGAGTGTGATCCCTTAGCCCTGCTTGAATAGCTAACCTTCCAGTTTCTGGTTTTCTTTCTCCATTCGAAGTAACAGGATTTGCTGGTGTATAGCTTTTTTCCACAGACTCTTTAGTTCCTTTGATTTCTTTTTTTCTTCCACTTTTTCTGTGTCCTCATCACCAGACAAGAATATGACGAGCGGCTCTTCCTCCATGGTGGGAGTGAGAGGGGACAGTGGGAGCAGTTCAGTCCTGTCAAGCCCATCTGCAGAGAAGAAGACAGTAAGAGGCATCCCTGCGTGGTGCCCACGCTGAGGGCCTTTCCTGCCGAACGCGCTGCTCAGCCCAGACTTCCACACGAAAGGGTGCTCCCACCCCACTTCCCTCATTGCTCTGAATCACTGGAACTAGAGATTTAAGTAAGTTCAGACTGAATTCCCCTTCCAGATTTCCCTCTTGCAGTGAAACAAAGACATTGGGTCACCACTTCTTCTTTCCACCCAGAAAGGCTTGTTAGTGAGTGGCTACAAAACAAACTGGCCTTTCCCCAGAGGCTGACACTTCTGCAATTCACTGCTGTGTGTAACACAGAGTTGTGTGAGTAGGTGTGAGTGATCTCCTGAGATCCCTGTCTACCAGTTGAGTCCCACAGAGCAACGTGGCTGAGCGGTGCTGGGGCCTTTCCACTCTGAGCAATGCCCCATGGCTCTTCCCTTCAGGCACAGTCTTCTTAATTGGTTTGCCAAAGCAGTTTCTCCCTCTACTGCAGCTGTTCTCTGAAAATGTCAGTTATTTTTCTATTAACAGAATGATTCTATCTCTTAAAGCATTTCAATTATGGCTGATATCTATAGATAGATGGATGGATGGATGGATGGATGGATGGATGGATGGATGGATGGGTGGGTGGGTAGATATAGTAACTAAACAAAGAAACACAATGTAGCTCTCTGGGAACACTGTGTAAAATCCTGTCAGGATCACCTCTATCTGATTTTCCACCTCAGGGCTCAATCTTCCAGGACTCCCTTCTTGCTTAGTCCCTTTCAATTCTCTGACCCGAACAATATCTCAACATGAATCTAGAACTTTCCTGGGACATGTTTCTCCCAAAGGTGAGTGTAATTTTTTTTTTTTCTGTGAAGCCCTGGGACCCTCCTAGGCTTCACGTGACCTTTAGAAATGCCAATTGATTCTGTTTGTAAATTCACTGATCTCTGCACTTAGGCGATTGCTCTTCCTGTGTTTGTATGTAGGCAACTGTTCCCAGCTTCTTGACAGTTCAGTACATTTGATTTCTTATTTCTTGGTTTTATATCAATGCAGTCAACACTATGAAGCCCTTGAAATAGCATGTGATTGTAAAATTCAGAGCAGGTATCATCATCTTTCTTCTAGATTCTACCAATACAGTTTTTTTTTTTTCCAAATGCATAAAATGTTTCAATTTCATTTTCCCAAAGTACTCAGGGTGGAACTTGGATCTTGCAGGTGCTGGGAAGTTGGTAGCACTGAGCTATTCCACAGCCTAAGTCCTCCGTCTTTCCCCACTCCAACCATAGTTCACCAATTCCTCTCTCATCTTATCTCTGTCTCTCTTTTTCTTTCCTTTTATCCTTCCCACTGTGATCAGAAAATAAAGTGCATATGATCACGAGTGTGTGAAACTTTCTAACATATCTTTCACCCAAGTACGTAATTTGTGTTTCCTACACGCTCAAATTTGATTAATTTTCTCTACCATGGCAAATTCTTTATCGGTGTCACATAAAGCTTGTCGTCAGTTGAATTATTTAAATATTACTCATACTTCACTTTCCTATACTGAACTGTCAAGAGAGAAATTTAAGATCTCCGATAAGCACTACTGAGTTATGTACTTTTCTTGTCTTGCATAGCCCTTTCTGGCTCTCCCATATACGTAAGAAAGCATGCTCTCTGCACTGTCACACCTTTTTGTTTACCGCTGTTTTGGTTATTTTTTTTTCTCCGATTTTTAACAGGTCCAACATACCACAGAAAGCTCCCCATGCTCCCTTTTGGTTTCTATGGGACCAGTGTGATCTATCCCATTTTTTTTGTCCAACTTTTCTGTCACTTTGTGTATGACACTGCATTACCATAGCTCGCCAGCACTGTAGACTAACACCTGGGTCGGGAATCTCACTCACTCCCGAGTCCATTGCGGCACTATGAGATACGCAGTCTCCTGTGTGTTATAATGGTCACGTTAAATAAGCTGCTAAATGCTCCTAAATCTCTGCACATTAAGCCTCCCCTTTCTGCTCCCTAGCTTCGGACACTCCTGAGGAGGATTTCTTGCATGAAGGCGCACGAACCTTTTTGCTGCATTGCTGAGGGGGACTTGTTCACCGGAGATGCCACCCGGAGGAAAATACGCTGCCTCCAGGAGATCCTGCGAGGAGTGACAGGGGTTCCGCCAGCATTTAGGGACTCATTGCTGCAGGTGGATGAGGTCCTTTTTCTGCCTTCTCCATCACTGCAGAATGTCAACAAATGTGTAAGCGGTGAGGAAGACACACACTTCGGAGAGATGGGAGCGCAAGCCATTCAAAAGTTCTGCCGCAGGCAAGCAAGAGGCACAGGCAACATGGAGAGGGGAGGTACCAGCCTTCTTGCCACCCAGCCACCACATCTTGGGAAAGCTGCAGTCCAGGCCACAGCCCACAGAAAGTCAGCTGTTTCTACTCCTTCCTTTGAAGGCAACCAGCCCTGGTTCTACTCTGAGGAACATGGGTCTTTACGCAGGGGAGGAACAGCTGCTTAAGTTAGGAGTTTGTACACTGCCAAGAAAACAAAGCTAATGTGTGATCCCGAACAATGTCAGCAGTCTCTACAATGCTCAGAAAGAGGTTTGCTTAAAGCTCATTCTAGATACATATGAGATTGTTTCCATCTTCTGTGCCTAGTAAGATTAATAGGTATTAATAGATTAATACCAATCATCCAAACCATGGCAGAAAATAACCCAAATCCAGGCAGAATGGCCAATTGGGGGGGGGGGGGTATTGTTAAGCTACATGTAATGATTTCAAACAGTCAGCCAGGTGAGTACCAGCACTCGAGAGGCAGATGCAGGTAGATCTCTGTGAGTTCTGGACCAACTACAGATACACAGTGAGACTCTACCTCAAAAAAAAAAAAAAAAAAAATAGTCAACCAGATTCGAATGCAACATGACTTAAAGTGCTCCTGGGCACTGAGATTTCCCATCAGGGAAATAGTGGACAGACACTATCCAACTTAGATAAACTAACTGACCTAAGATTCCTGACTTTTGGGTGGGGGCAGGGAGGAGTGTCCCATCAGTACTTCTGGATTCACTAAATTAAGGGTGAAAAAGAACACAGATATGAGCTGTCTTGCATATTGCAATGTCAAGCTGTCTTACTTTAGGAAGTAGCTTGTTTCATACATCTCATATACTTACATCCCCTCTGCTACTTAGGCTGGATAAGGTAATAACTCCACCAGGGACCAATGTTCAAAAGTCCCTCAATACTAAAAAGCTTCACCTTTAAGTCATCTTGGGGAAGCCGTAAGTCAAGTCGTTCCCCTTCAGCATTTTTGATTCAAACGTTCTTCACCTGTCCTGATGAATACTCACAGAAGAGCCCCTATCTCCATTTCTGTAATGCTGCCTTGGGTGGTTTACTTGCTATACACTTGGTTCACAGACCTACTGCCAGCTTCTAGTGGGAAACAACCACTATCAAGAGCTGAACTAATAACGTCTGAATATGAGTATTTTATAAGACCGTATGAATTGATACAGAAGGCTGGGTAAGATGGACAAGGGAAGTACTGAATGATCTAACATGTCAGGAACGAATAAAAGATTCACCTCCTTCTACCCCTTGACTGATAATCTACCTTATGGCTTTCTGGCAGAGAGGTCTAGTAGCTATTTCCAGAAAAATAGGCTGAGCTGTCAATGGTAGCCATTGACAATGGCAATGATGTTAATAAAAATTAAAACAAAACAAAAACCACTTTCTTTCTTTTTTTTTTCTCCTAGGGCTGCCCCTTTCAGGAGCATCTGCAATGTGACTCACGTTTTGAACACTCTATGAAATGTTGAGTGCTTCCAGAGCGCCTGTGGCAACGCCTGGCAGGGAATGCTCAGCAAACGCTGTTTCACTAAAACAACCCAGAGATTCAGAAATACTTACACCGTGAGTAAGAAACTAAAGTGTCTTTTGATAAAAATCATCATGAAATCCTTATTTAGAGACACACGGAGTGTTGAGAAAGTACTGAAATCAAAACTGAACAGGACGGGTGTCAGTTTCACAGTTGTCCATCCAATGCAACCCTTTTGATGGCTATGTCATAAAAGACCACCCTGGCGTTTCGCCCACCAATACACATTTGCAGACTTCCCAGGGTCTGGTTTCAAGCCCCTTGATAGGAGTGAACTGACAGATGTCTCTTTTTTCATCCATATTGAAATTTAATTGCCAAAAACCAATGGCTAAATTGTATACTAACAATACAGGAAGAAATGTGTATATGGTAGAATATGGATGCTTTACTCATAAAGTAGTTTGCTGCTGAAGTAACAGTGATCTTGCTTCACTTAGTAAGAGAGAATTGTAAATGCAATTGGAAGGCAACCTCTAGGTGAAGGTTCAACCAGGCAGTGAGCATGTGCAACTACTACAGCTCACTGTTGGAGCAGCACGTGGTCAGAAGTCAGCAAGGTGAAAGAGGTCATTCAAGGAAGTGAAACTGCATGATATATTGCACAATTGATTTTCCTATATCCTGACTTGGGATGCAGGATAAAACACAGTATGGAGATGAGGGATACCCTTTTCTTTTCTTTTTTTTTTTTAGTTCTTGTTTGTCTTTTTGCTTTAACTCCATTATTAGTTTTCACTTTAACTTCCTTAAATTTAAGACTTAGGACAAGTATAACTTCAAAACTAAACTGCTTGTGGTATCTACTGCATAGTGATGACACTGACGAAGACAGAGAACACATACCACATACGATGCACTGTTCTGGACAGTTCCAGGTACGGTTGGTTTCATCTTTATGGTAGCCACACAGGTTGGCTGATTTGATTTCCATTGCTAGTGAAAAGCCCTAACTAGAAAAAGGCAAAATAACCTGCTCATTTCCTGTGGCAACTAGGAATGGTGCCTGAACTCAGTCAGGCAGTCCATAACCCAGACCCTCAAGGCACTGTGGTTGACTGTGAAAATGTCAATGACCTTTGCATCAGTTCTTACAAAGCTCCAGGGGTCTTCAAAAAAAACAGAGCTGTCCTTTGGATCCCCTTCCTGTGACACGGCTACCTTGTCTGGCCTGAGTGGAAGAGGATGTGCCTAGTTCTGCAGTGACTTAATGAGCCAGGGCAGGTAGGTACCCATGGGGGACCTCCCTGTTCTCTGAAGAGGAGAGTGGAGAGTGGGAGAGGAGCGTGGGGGAGAATGGGGAGAGGGTGGCTGTGATCAGAATGTAAAGTGAACAAATAAATAAGTAAATAAATAAATAAATTGGAGCATATTTATATTAAAAAAAGGATCTGTCAGAGATCCCATGATCCTATGCTCTTCTACAGGAAAAAAAAAAAAAAACAGTCCTTAATTAACACAAAAGTTTTTGATGGCCTTTTCCATTTTTTGAGGAATTTTTCCAGTAGAGAAACAACTTCAAAGTACCATAGGTGATTTATTTATGTAAATGTCTCACTACTTTGCTTTGCAATACATGAAACTCAAAATGTATGTGATTATTTAAATAAGTGGATGAAGTAAAAATGCCTTAACATGTTAGACTATACATACATCTATATAAGTATTTTTAAGGTAATCATAGACACTATGTACATATTTTCTCTTATTTTTCATGTAACCCAGACCACTTGTGATTCGTAATGTAAACATGAGCAGTGGTTTTTAGGGTGTAAGCAGGCAAAGCATTCATTGCCAGGGCTTCCTCTATCAGAAATTTTTGAAATTAAAAATGAATAAGTAGGTTAGTTGACTCTGTTGGTCTTCTTGTGGAGTTCCTGTCCCCTCTGGGTCCTTCTATCCTTCCCCCCCACTCTTCCACAAGACTCCTGGAGTTCTGCTTAATGCTTGGCTGTAAGTCTTCAGCATCTGATTTGATCAGCTGCTGGGTAGGGCCTCTCAGAGGATGGTTATCCTAGGCTTCTGTCTGCAAACATAGCAGAGTGTTGTTAATGGTTGACCATCGGGGACAGAAAGAGATAGAAGCACCAACCAAAGAGCAGGCATGGACTGGACCTAGGCGCCATACACATACGTAACCCATAGGCAGTTTGATCTTCATGTGGGCTCCCTAGTAAGTTGAGAGGGTGCTGTCTATGACATGGACTCTGTTGCCTGCTTTCGATCACTTCCCCATGGCGGGGCTGCCTTGTCTGGCCTCATCGGAGGAGGATGAGCTCAGTCCTGATGCAACTTCTTGGGTGGGCTGGGGTGGACCCCTCTTTTCTGAGAAGGAGGAGATAGGAGGAAGAAGGTGAGAGGGAGGGACCAGGAAGAGAGGGGGGAGAGGGCTACGACTGGGACATTAAGTGAATATATAAATTAAAAATAAATTTTTAAAAAAGTTTTAAAAAGCAGTGTCAAAAAAAAAAAGTAAGTAGGAAATAAGCACGGCTTGGAGAGGTGACAGCCATTGGCAGGTTGGTACAATGTTTATGTACTTCCTACTATTAGGATGAGATTAATCAGGAACCACAATCTGTCGCTCATGGTGAGGGATTTAGAGGGAGGGGATAATTACACGTTCTGTTTGTATTACTACCTAGGCTGAGAAGACAGCACTCTGTACACAGCACTCACTCAACTATGGCTAGAATGTGATAGCCAATGTTGGGAGATGACGACCTTTTGAAACAGCTGTGAGCAAGCAGGTGCAGTCCTGATCGCATGAACTAACGTTGGGCTTCTGTGAACACAGAAGTTTTACTATGCACTGGCTTGCTTAAATAAGAATCAATCCACTAGGTCCCGTATGGAATGGTGCACTGAGGACAATTTTCCTACTGAGACCAGAGAAACCCACTTTACACTACGACAGATTCTCTTGCCAGATTTAGCGCATGTTCTTCTGGGCAGGAATCTGTCCACTAGCCCTCCTGTACTTCCTAGCACTCAACAGAAACTGGGATCCTAAAGTTCTGCTGGCAAAATCTTTGTCTAGATCACAGTGCACTGCCAACTTGAGACAAATAACAACACCTCACTAACCCAAAAGCAGCGATTTGTCAAAACCTGGAAGGCTTTCCTTCTATGAGTGTCTTAAGAAGCCCGCACGGGACAGCACACTGATGAAACCTGTTCTTTCCTTCATGAGCCACAGTACTCGCTGGCTTACATCACGTTCGCAGCGCTCAGTCTGTGAAAGTTCTGGCTTTCAACTGGGCAAACATCTGTCATCCTATGGAAAACCGTTAGTAACTCAACAGAGCTCAGATTCATCACTCTAGCAGAAATCAC